CCCCCGGATCTGATTGGCGACCAGCTGAGAATCTGTCTTGAGGTAGACATGCTCGGCTTCCAACGATATGCACAGGTCTAAGCCAGCAATGGCTGCTTCATATTCGGCCTCGTTGTTAGAGGCTTTGAATGAAAATTTTAGTGCATACTCGAAGGTTTTGCCTTCGGGAGAGGTGATGACGACCCCTGCCCCCGAACCGTTCACGGTGGAGGACCCATCCGTGAAGACGGTCCAGATTTTCCTCCTTGCATCCAGAGTCTCCTGATAGGAGCACTCGGCCAAGAAGTCTGCCAAGGCTTGCGCCTTGATGGCTGTTCTCGGCTGATAACCGATACTGAACTCGGTGAGCTCGAAAGCCCACTTTGCTAGTCTACCGGATTTTTCAACCTTGCCGAGGACTTTCTCTAACGGCTGATCAGTTAGAACCGCTATTTGATGAGAATCAAAATAGGGTCGCAACTTCCGAGCAGCCACCACCACTGCATAAGCCACTTTTTCTAACAATGGGTAGCGCGTCTCGGCATCCGTCAGGGTGTGGCTGACGAAATAGATCGGCTGTTGAACTTTTTCTTCTTCCCTTAGCAGCACCGCGCTTACCGTGGCTGGACTGACCGCCACGTATAAGTATAGGATGTCTCCTACGACTGGCCTTGCCAGTGTTGGGAGTTGAGCCAGGTGTTCACGGAGCTGCTGAAAGGCTGACTTTTGTTCGTCTCCCCATTCAATGCCTTTTGAATTTTGGAGCTTCAGCGCCTTGAAGAAAGGGAGCCCTTTGTCTGAGGCTCGTGAGATGAACCTGGACAAGGCAGCCATTCTCCCGGCTAGACGCTGAATATCCCTTTTTGTCTTCGGCTCGGGGAGGTCTAAAGCAGCTTGTACTTTGGCGGGGTTTGCATCAATCCCCCTCTTGCTGACCATGAAGCCGAGGAACTTGCCTGACTTCACGCCGAAGACACATTTCTTCGGATTCAGCTTCATTTTGTATTTTCTGAGGGTGGCGAAGGTTTCGGCTAGGTCCGTGACATGATCTTTTTCTTTTATGCTTTTGACGATTGAGTCGTCAACATAAACCTCCATGTTTCGGCCTTTTTGCTCGGCGAAAACCTGATCAACCAACCTCTGATATGTTGCCCCCGCATTTTTCAATCCGAAGGGCATCATTCTGTAATTGTACAACCCGGAACTTGTTATGAACGCTGTTTTAGCTCGGTCCTCGGGGTGCATGAAGATCTGATGGTATCCCGAGAATGCGTCCATGAAACTGAGCAGAGCATGCCCGCTTGTCGAGTCGACCAGTTGGTCGATCCTCGGCAGCGGATAGGAGTCCTTGGGACATGCCCTATTCAGGTCCGTGAAGTCAACGCACATCCTCCAGTTACCATTTGCCTTCTGAACCATTACAACATTGGCCAGCCACTCCGGATACTGACAGGGTTCAATGAACCCAGCATCTAGGAGCTTATCGACCTCAGCTGCGATGTTCTGGTTCTTTTCGGCGGAGTAGTTCCGCTTTTTCTGCTTAATGGGTCGACTGGAGGGGTCGACATTAAGCCTATGGGAGACGAAGTCCGGATCAATCCCGGGCATTTCTGCGGCTGAGAAGGCGAACACGTCTCCACTGGCCCGTAGGAGTTGGACGAGTGCCGCACGGGTGTTTGGCTCCAGTGACGACCCGATGCTAACACATCTGTTCGGATCTCCTACGGTCAGTTCTATTGACTCGGTCAGGTCATCCGTCTCCATGCTCTTAGAGTTGGATTCCTCGAATTCCGGCCTGCTATCAATATTAGCAGACTTTCCTGACCGCGGCTGGCCATCAGAGTCGTTCGGCTCTGAGGCGGAGTCAGCCTTTTGGCCCCCATCAGATTTCTCGTTGTCTGGGGCTTCATTAGCCGAAACGTCTGAGCCTCTCGGCTTTTTGGCGTTTCGGTCCCGGTGCTTTTCCTCCCCATCGCCACGGTCGCCTCGGCGAGACGTGGATGGCTTGAGGTGATTGCATCGGCGGGCTTCTTTTTGACTGCCCTTTATTTTCTCGGAGCGTCCCTCGTCTGAAACGTATATCATGATTTGATGATACGTGGAGACGACTCCTTGAATGCCGTGAATGAGGGGTCTCCCCATGATCACGTTGTATGCAGATGGAGCATCTACGACCAAAAATTCGGCCATGATATTCCTAGCTGCTCGGCCTTCGCCGATGGTGACAGGAAGTGTAATCTTCCCGTCAGGATACGAGGAAGAGCCGTTGAATCCAGACACCGGGTAGGGTGCGGGGGCCAGGTGCTCGGCTCCCATCCTCAGCTGGTCGAACGCTCCTCGGAAGAGGATGTTCGCCCCGCTACCGCCGTCGACGAGGGTCCGCCAGACGTTGCGGTTGGCGATGCCCAGAATGATTACTAGTGGGTCATCGTGGGGGTATACCACCCCCTCACAGTCTTCGGCTGTGAACAGGATGTTCGGCGCCGGTGACTGGGACTGCCGAAGCTCAGCCTGATGAATCTGATGGGTTAGACCCCTCAGTTGGCGTTTGGCTGTGCCTCGCGAGATTCCCCCGGAAATAACTAGGATGTCGAGGGACTCCTTGCCCTGAGGTCCCTTATCCTTCTTCCGAGCGAAGTTGAGGTCCTGCCGAGAATCTTTTTCAGCTTTTTTCTCCTCGCGCCTGTCCGCGAGGTATTGGCTCAGGTACCCCTTGCGGACCAGATCCTCAATCTGGTCCTTCAGCTGGACGCAGTCCTCGGTGCGATGTCCGGGTGAGTCATGGAACTCGCACCACTGGTCCTTTCCCCTCGTCTGATGCCAGGGAGGCAACGGACGAGGTTTTTTGAATCTCCCCTCGTCCTTCGTCGTGCTGAAAATCTTAGCACGGGGAAGGGAGAGTGGAGTGTATGAATCGTACCTTCCCGTGTAGGGAAAGTGTCTTTCCTTCTTCGGCTCGGCAGCAGAGGACGGTTCTGAGGCCTTAGCCTTCCCTTTCCTCTGCGCCGAGACTTCGGGCTGCTGCCCTTTCGGCTTCTCAATTCTCGGACGAGACTGAGACCTGGATCTGTTCCACTCCTCGGCTCGGATGAACCTATCCGATGCTTCCAAGGCTTCCTCCAGGGTCTGCGGGGGATGCATGACCATGAAGTCCAGGAACTTTCCAGCTTGGAGGCCGTTCCGTAGCGCGAACACGGCCAGGCCTTGATCCAGGCTTGTGATTCCGGATGACTCGTTGCTGAAGCGAGTCAGATAGTCGCGGAGGCTCTCGTCCTCCGCCTGCTGCAGACTCATTAGCTCTGCAGTGGTCTTCTCTCGGCGGTTGGCCGTAGAGAATTTGCTCTTGAACTTGTTGGAGAGGTCGTTCCAACCGGTTATGGAGCCTTCCTTGAGCCCTTTGGTGATCCAGGATTGGGCAACACCTTTGAGGGTCGTAGGAAAGTATTTACACCAGGTAGCCTCAGACCTCGGGTTCAGATACATGTGCCCCTCGTAAGAGGCAATGTGATCCTTAGGATCTGAGGTACCATCGTAAGTAATATGTGCCGGGATTTTGACCGTTGGCACATGCTCTTCCAGAATCCACTTCTGGAAGGGCGAGTTCGATGGAACCATGACCGCCTTCCCCTTGTACCCGGCCTCAGGGACCTCGCTCCCTCCTCTCTCAGAGGTGGAAGTGGTTTTCGTCCCCGGCTGAGACAAGGTTGGGTGGGGTCCGGTATCCTCTGGGAAGGTGAGGCGGCTATGCACACTCACCTCCCTCGAACCCAAGCGTTCGTGAACGCTTTGGCGGGCGAATTCCGGGTCCTTAGAGGGCCCCATGGAATTCTGAGCTTCAGAGTGGTCAGAGGGTTGAGGGTTCCTCCTCCTCTCCTTACTGGAGTTTCGGGTGTCCCCTCGCCACCTCTGGCCGAGCTGTCTATGTGGTGGAACTTGTCCACCATCATCCTGACCGATCCTCCTTTTCAGGTTTCTCGGCTGGTGATCATCAGGCATCTGGATTGGAGCCCCTTGAGCTTTAAGGAACTCCATGCAGATGGCCACTGCTCTGGCCACTTCCTCGGTGGAGGGTCCGGAGGGAGGAGTCTCCCGCGGATGTGACCTGGATTGCACGCTATGGCGCGGCGGGGAGTTCCTCGCTCCTGAGCCACTCGGTCTCGGGGATGGCCCCGGCTGCCGAGTGTGGTGCGAGGTGTTCTCCTCCTGGAGGCTAGGACCTCTTGAGGCTTCCCTTTCCGGAGAAATGGGGGCCTCCGATTCGGAAGAGGCTTGCTCCGGGGAGGGATAAACCGGCTGGCGTTCCCTCACCGTAATCCGGCCTCCTCCCTTCTTAGCCTTCTTGGAACTCTTTCCACTCTTAGTCATGGCGACTGCCGGAGTGTTTGATGACTGACGCGAAATTTCGTAGCGCTCCCCACAGACGGCGCCAAATTGTTTCGGATGAAAACAATCGAATCTCGGAAGATCCTTTTATCTTGAGGGAACTTGGTCTCGGTCCGAACGACGCAGGAGCCGAGGGTTTCCTGCACAACAAATACACGTAAACTAGCCTCGGGGGGGACGCCGAGGAAGGCCCCTCCGATGCTTAAGTCAGTATATTAGAGAGAGAAAGCTGTGCAAGAGTTTAGTTGCTTGAGGCTTTATTGTCTTACCAAGAATTGACCAAATTGTTGGCTTTTATACCTTGGCTAATGAAGGAGGCGGATTGGGCCCGGAAGTCAGTTGGGCTGGGCCAAGCTGATTGGGCCGTTGACTGACCTTGACATGGCTTTGAGGATGTTGATTTTTGACTTTAGCACATTTGGAGAGTTGAACCTTAACCTTGGGCTTTTAATTGGATCATTCAGTGACCAGGCCCAATTGGACTAAATTGGACCCAAACACTAGTAAATACCGTCACATGCCTGTCTTCATAGTTATACTCGTATTACGTAGTCATGTGAGTACCAGTTTAAATTGTCTCAATGAGTGATTTTAGAACATTAAATTTTTATGACGTTTACTAATACATAACTAGTTAGTAATATAATAAATGGTAAAATATGTGCATTAATATAGGATCTGGAGGACAAAGTTTTTCTCAAGGGTGACAGACATTGATTGGATTATTCATAAACAGAAATTGTATCAAACCTGCAGATGCCAAATTCAGATACTGAAACCTAATATATACAGTAGATTTACACTATTCTAGTTTATTATCATCTTAAGGAAGAGCAGCAAGTATGCTATCTGCCTTGGATTCCTGAATCTTCTGGGAACAAGAACTGAGGTAGAGATGCTATCCTTGGAAGATGTAGAAGAAGCTCGCCAACCGAATCCTTCCTTGACATGCTTGGTCCCTGTTGGAAATCATTGCCTAGTCCAGTCTCACTTCCCGCTGCAAGAACAGTCTTTGCAGTTCGATTTTCACACAATTGTTCGGCAACCGAATCCTTCCTTGACGAGCTAGTACCCTGTTGAAAAGCATTGCCTAAACCAGTCTTACTTCCTTCTGCAAGAACAGTCTTTGCAGTTTGATTTTCACACAGTTGTTTGGCAGCTTGGGTGTTTCCCACAGCCAGATCTAGTACATTATCTAAGCTGATGTGTGCATTATGAACTCCTGCATCATCCATTTGCAGAAGGCAGCAAAGGGAGTTCACTTTTGACATGATACGCTTTTCATCGGAATTTGTTAAAGTTTGAGAGTCATTTAGTAGATATTGAGTGATCTCGTCAAGAATTTCCCACTTTTGAGGTTCATTGATGGAAAGACTAGGATTGTCAGATCTCATCTGCTCTGAGATACAGTCACCAATATGGTTTACAAGATCACCTACTGACATGGATGGATGAAGACCAGGAAGTTTGATCTGGTTCAGAAGTTTGAGTCTATCAGCATCGTTATACTTGCTGCTGATATCTCCTTCCATCACAAGCATATCTGTAGCATTATTTAGATTTCATGAGGTTATTCATTACTGTATGCAATACTTCATAATAGTCAATAGCAAAACTAACAACTGCAATACCACCCCAAAATGGCAAAATGTGCTCCTGCCTGAAGGCCCAGAGATAAGGTCTACTTGTCTAGATAACCATGGGCAAGGAATTGGTTGGGCTAGATCATAAGAAATTGTGCCTAAGCCGATTTGCAGAGGCACATACAACACAAACTGGCCAGTAGCTGTTACTATAAAAGTTATGCACGGATAGGAGAAAAAACAGATATAAACTGTGCTTCACACAAAATCGGCCCTTCTCAGGTTCAAATTCTAAAGAGAAATATTTGGAAGCAGAATGACAACTAGAGCTGCTTCATAAATCAGGTGGGTATTAGGTTGGCAGTCAGAAAAATCATCACCCTTCTCTAGCTTGAACAGCTACTCACCCAGTAATTATAGTTAACATCTAACTTTGTTGGGATTACTAAGTAGGAAATGGGTTGTAATGTAAGGAAACCCATGGGGGGATACCGACATCCCTCATGACCGACCAGATAGTAGCTGTTCAAGTTAGGGAAGAAATAGGAGGTCCTAGCCCCCAGGCCATCACTAGAAACATTCTCCTACCGAAAGCTATGGTTGATATAAATTATACCCCAATCAAAACTAGTATCTAAGCATACAAGTATATGAAAATTAGACAGTAAAAGATGGTCCATGTCAGTTCAAATACCTGGAACGAGCTGAGAATTTTTGTGAGAGTTTTGTGTAGGTGAGCCAATATAGTTCTTGTTCTCAATATCTGAAGAGGATAACCCAGAAACTGAAACTCCATCTCTGATGCCCGAATAACTAAATGTCCCTTCAGTCTTCAATTCAAAACCATGTGCAGGGTTACTGTGATCACCAAAAATGGAAGCCCTTGGTTGAAAATATGGAGTATCTAATTCTATCTGCGGCTGTTGACTTAGGAAGCAGAGACGAGGATCACACTGTATAAGTTTTTGAAAATGCTTTCCTAAAGTACCCTGGGGAAACTTTAGGAAATGTTGCCTGCAACAAAAAATGAAGTTATCAGCATGCCATTCGATGAATTAAAACCATTAACAGCCCCTACTTCTTTTAATATTGTATCCGAACACCACTCAGAATTGTATCATGTAGGTTCAAAAACTATATAGGTGAAAACTGAATCAGTATTCTTAGCAAAACAGCATAGGCCAGCCACACTATAGCCACTCTGCCACTTTACCTCATGGGCTATCATTCTAAACATGCCAAAATATCTTAAACCACAGGATCCTATCACAGATATTCATATTTTCATAACATGAGATGATGAAGTAAAAATTGGAATAAGTAGTCCAAAGTATTTAGTTTTACCATTTAATGAATGTTCAGGAGGATATTCTAGGCAATCAACCTACTCCATTTTTATTTTATTTTTTTTTAGGGTTACTAGAAATCACTATAACTTAAAGGCTATAAATTACTTGTATATAACAGTGGACTAACGTCTAATAACACAAAAGCAGACCTTAACAATTTAAATGAAAATTTGTATGAAATCAAAAAAAAAATCCAAAAGCTGAAAATAACTTCAATTTACAAATAAATGACATAGAAGGCAGATTCAGTCTCACCGAATTATTGCTTTAAAAGGAATTCTGAAAATAAATTCAATTGTCATAATTTTACAAATTTTTTAACCTTCTCTACCTCACCAAAACCTTTTTCTTATTTTAAGCTATATGATAAATTGTTTCATTAACATGTTGTACAAGAGCAGGGTAAAGAACAGTGTCAATTCAAAGAACTTACACTCTTACAGTATTAACTCCAAAGTAACATGTTTAGTCATTTACCAATAGAAAATAGAATCATGGCTTGTTAATTGATATCAGTATTCGGTAATCAACACTCATAATCTTACACATAAATTAGATGCAGCCAACGACAAAATGAGAACAAAACCAAATTCCAAATTGAAACATAAACTCAATCAACTAAAACAATCAATAAGGCTTTGGCAATTGTACCGATGGAGTGAAGCCTGCCCGGTAGTAAAATCTGTTGTCGCCTGCCACAACGTGTGCTTCCTTGGTTGTGGATTAATTTCTCTAAAGAAAAGAGGTTGCCGCGAAAGCTGAAACAGAACATAACACCTTTTATCATTATACCATTACAACAAACAACAATGCACGAAAACAAAACAAAATCGAACCGACATATTTACACATAACATACAACAAATTACTTACCACAACATCTAGTGTTCCAGGTTCATTATCAGGGTAGTTTGCCTTAATAGCCATTATGTCAGACCACTGAATTTCAATCTTATTCTTAAGTCCACCATCAAGCACTTCCCATACAAGCTTATGCTTAGCAAAATAACACTTTGCCACTAAATCGCCTTCGTACCTCGACTTATACTGCAATGAAAATACATACCACATTTTCCTTAATATACTCCACAGTCCACACCACAAAAGTATACCACACACATACAACATTCAAATTCAAACTTTAGATACCCAAATTTTTAACTTTAAGAGCCTTAGTACATATCATAGCATACGACAAACCAAATGCATTACTAGATCAACTTCACAAACAAGTTGAAAAATCAAACCAATATCATTATCTCAGATAAAGACTAAACTTTTGTTTCAAAAAAAAAAAAATAAAGACTACATTTATAAACATGCAATAAAAAGTTAAGTTAAATAACACCAATGGACACGTAAATTTGTCATAAATTCTGAAACTAATACTTCCTCCGTTCTAGTAATATTACAACAACTGCATTTTTACACTATTCATCACGTTTGTTTGACCACATATTATGATTTATACGTAAAGTAAAATATAATTATGTAGGGTTTTGTTAGATTCGTCTCATAAAATACTTTGACAATATCAACTTTTTATAATTTTTACTTTTATATAATTATAGATATTAAGAATATAAAATGTGATTTAAGATGCGTAATTGCATCCTTGTTGCAATATTCGTGGAACAGAGAAAGTAATACTTTTTAAATACGTTTGAACTCAATATTCCCTCTATCCCATAATTCAGTGTCATTCTCGTTTTTATGGTTAAACTTGTGAAACTTTGACCAAAATTCCTCATTAGTATGAAAAAACCACAGTCGTGTAAGATATTTTTAGATTTGTATTTATGGTCAAACATACGTATTGAAGACCAATTTATTATAGTTCACACATATCCGAATTAGGGCCCCAACTACATATATCAAACATTAATAACACCGATCGATGCGTAATTGAGACATACAAAGAGGCAATTATCTCAAATAAATTAAAAAATGAAATACCTCCCAAGAGCCAATTTTAAGTAAAGTAGCAGGAAAATTAGAAGCCTTAAGCTTATTATCAGCAGCAGAAGAAGCCCCCTTTTCTTTTCTAGCAAGTGTTTTTGCTAAGAAAGCACTCTTTTCCTGAGACAATTTCATATGAATCAAATCCAAAAATGATGGACTCTTTTTTAGCTTTAATCCCAATCGACTTGGCTCTTCCAATGGATTATACTCCATTATCCCACCATTCTTTTTCTGAAAACCAACCAAACACACCCTTAGAATTACATTTACCCAAACAATAAATACTACCTCCGTTTCATATTTTTGTAACCATTTGAGATAAAAATGTGAGTAAACAATATCTAATCGTTGCAAATAATATCAAACGAAGATAGTATAAAATACATTGGAATCTATAAGAAAAATTCACAAACCTTATTCAATGGATCGAATTTGGGTCGTTTGGAGAAAAACCCATGTGAATTTTCAGCAGAATCTTCGAATTCTGCCTTGACTTTGACCTTTTTCCGGCATGATTTTTCCGGTGAAGAGAATACTTCGACGGAATCCATAATTCTATGAACCATTTTTTTGGAACTCGAAGAGAGAGAATCAGAGACTCAGTGAGTTAACTCGGTGAGAATGAGAGATGTAGTGAGACAAAAACGTCAATTACAGCTATTCAACTCTATCCTATATAAGCTAGAGCACGAGTGTAGCGCGTGGAGTGACGTGGTACTGTTGAGTGTGCCACGTGTGATAGATGTGGTGCTGAGCACCTGGCTGTTATTGTTTAATAGGAGGTGAAATTACGGAATAGCCCTTTCGTCGTTTACGTTGGCTACAACATGCCCTTATATTAACTTTATATATCGTCGAAATGAAATTTATTTGGATATTTGGATCATTGGATGTGTGGATAAAATTATACTATGTACTATAAATCTATAATAAAAATTTACGAAGTGTATATATAATAGTATTTGAAGAGTAACAACATGTTTTTTTTTTTTTTTTTGGGATTATTGATGGGATAAGGATTTAAAATCCTTTATATTTTATTATTCCTTGTTTATTTGAGAGGATACAAGTTATTCTTTTTAAAAAAGAGGAGAAAAGTGAAAGATTAATAAGGATAATTAAGTAATTTTATTACTTATCTCAATTTAATTTTCAACACATACCAAACAAGATATAACATCATTATTATCCTTATTCCACCCACTAATTCCACATCCTTATCCTACCTTTCTATCCTCATTATCCATATCTCTCTTGCCAAATGCCCCCGTAAAGGTTTGGAAGTTTTTAGTTAAAAGGTTGACAAACGACTCCAAATTTATAATACTCCCTCGGTCTCAATATATAATTCATGTTTGTGTTTTTCACGGTATTTAAGAAATGGGAATAGAAAGTGGATAAAGTACATTAAAGGTAGAAAAAAGCTAAACAAAAGGTAGACAAAAGTACAAGGTAAGTAGATAATTTAAGAGGAAAAAGTGAAAAGTACAATTATAGACAAAAGTTAGAGAGATAAAGTGGAAAAAACGTACAAAACAAGTGGATAATTTGATGGTAAATTAGGAAGTTCAATGAATAAAGTTTAAAAATAAGGGTATAATAGTCCTTACATACTACCTAATAATAGAAATATGAACAATATTTTGGATCTCCAAAATAGAAAAGCAGAAACTATATGAGACGGAGAAAGTACTTTATCTAATTTATTTTATTTGTAACACTTTTTTTGTGTCTATCAATGCATTATCAATAAATTAAAAGTCATGAAGTATTAAAATATGGATGTTTAACATCATAATTAGACACTAACCCCCCCAAACTAGTCAAAGCAAATAATGTAAGTGTTCTGTGGAATGAAAAGTGTTGCATTTAAAATAAAATTATACGAATATATAAGTTAAAATGTTCTATTTTTGTAAAATAAAAAAATAAAATTACTGAAAAGGCCATTGGTCGTCAATGACGGCTGGATTTGTCTTATACGGATGTCAGAGGGGTAATGTAGTCTAATGGGATGAGCTGGAAGGGTGGATAAGACATGTCAGCGATATTTGGAAGTATGTGGAAGTTCACATTCACAACTCGTGGCTGTTGTTGTGGATACAAAAGTGGGTCCAGATTCTTGAAGGTTCTTCATTGCAATTGCGAGTGTGATGCGTGTGAGGCCGAAAGCTACGCTTCGCATCTAACCAACTTCTCTTATTGGTTTCTATTTTACACGTGGTTTATTCTAACAATTTATGTTTTTTTTTATTGTTTTTATTTTTTTGAAATATTTATAGACTATTTGGTCGGAAAAAATTTGGATAAGGTTTTCATCTTTCCAAAAGGCAGTATTTTTCTTAAAGATTGTACTCCTTCTATTTCTGAATAATTGATATAGTCGTATACACTATACATATTAATACTTTAGTTTGATATAGTGATACTTCCTTCATTTTGTAATAATTATAAAAGTAGAGCTTACATAAAGTTTTAGTAGACCTTATCAAAGTGAGTCTGACTCGTTGGCCCGATCCAATTTTGGCGGGTTTTGGGCATATTTTCCGGCCCGGCCCGATTTTAAAATTTTTTTTGGACGTGCTTGGAAAAGCAATTTTATGCAATTATAGTTGGTTTTTTTTGGCCTGGTCCGAAATTGGCCCGAAAAGCCCGCACGACCCGATTAGTTTGGACACATAATTTTCGGCCCGAGAAATGGACTGATTTTTTTTTTTTTGTCTCAGCCCGACCCGCTCAATGTCCCCTCTGAGTTGTAGGAAACTTGTAGGATATTATTATAGAGTAAATTTTATATATAAAGTATACTTAGTGTGCAAACTCTCAAATAAACCTGTTTCACATTAATTTATTGTGGACCACTAATATTAGGAACATTACGCTTGCTTTATTAAGAAAAAAAAAAGGACACTGATTAGGGGATTTTCCCCACCCAATCACTGTCTGCCACGTGAACTAATCAGGTCCTGCCATGTGTCCGCCACATGGACCAACAAGGACTTGACACGTGTCAAGCAGCAATCAGTCCAGCATGGACCAATCGCGCCACGCCACGTGGCTTGCTGTCTGCCCACTTGGAGAACGGCCACCAAGGCCCAGTTTCCGAGAAAGGCCCAATCAGCCCTAGGTTAACCTAAACCTAATATTGGGCACGCATCCCGAGGCTATAAATACAGTAATTAAGCCTCCATTTAGGACGATGGAGAATTGATTACTCTCACCTAGAGAAGCCAAAACACACGTGCTTTCCGATTGCTAGACCTGACTTAGCAATTAATTGCACTTCCTGATCACTTCTCCCTTCCGAGGAACCAGATCACCCTCTTTACTTTCCTCACCTTTTACTCTACATACAAGTACTAACTTGATCGTCGGAGGCGGAGCTCCCGCCACCCGGAGTCTCCGTTGTTTTGCAGGTACAAAACTCTCCCGCAGGACATCAAAAAACCCCGAAACATTTGGCGCTGTCTGTGGGGAGAGTACTTTCGAGATGGAATCACAGTCTGTACCGTTCTAAGTGACAAGCGTCCCATGGACGACCCTCAGGTCTACACTGAACAGGATACGGATAATGATACCGAGGTCGAGACTCGCACGGCCCCTGACGGGACCCTCAGAGCTCGACGCACCCGCCCCACCGAAAAGAGGGAACGGGAGGACTACCTGGCTGGATCTCGTAAGCCAGCCGACCAGCCGCTTGATCATCAACAGGCGGCCGAGGGATCTGCCCCCATCACTAAGAGTGAACTCATGATCTTCATGAATAGCTTCAAAGGGGAGATCCAGGAGCTGATCAATAAGAGGACGCCTGTTCCACCAAAGGAACAGTCGGCCAGAAGACCCTCCCAATCTGGGAGGAAGAAGCTTGTAAAGGATCGGGAGGCAACCCTTTACCCTAAGCCTAGAGAGAGGGGGGCGCCAGTGATCGACCTAACTAAGTATCGCTTTCCCTCACCAGGGAAGAGAAAGCCCATTCGTCATGTTATGCCGGACGGGTCAAAGAGAATATTTTCTGATTCTCGAATGTTGTTTGAGCAAAAGAAGAATGACCGACTGTCAGAGGCGGCCTCAATGTCCGATTTTCTGGGCAGCCCACATAATACCTCCTTGAGGTATTCAAGATTAAACTATGAGAGCCAGACGCTCGGAGCCTCCTCTCGTTCTGCTTCCCAAAAGCATCAGCTGGCCCCGTATGTCCCTCAACCATACGTCCCGCAGTCCCAATATTTCATGCAGCCTACTCTTTTTGGAGGACAGGCGGCAAGGAATGTCAAGCCTTTGGACTGGCAACTTAGGTTGCTCAAACTTGGAGAACAGCCATCCGCCTTCTCTAAGGAAATAATAGAGGCCGCTTAGCCGGCCAAAGTAAAAAATGTGTTGGTAGGGGCATATGATGGCACTACCAACCCAGAAGATCACATGATGGCATACACCAACCTAATGTACCTCCAAGGGTTGGATGATGCCACATGGTGCAAGTGTTTCCCGGCCACTTTGAAGGGAGTCGCCCAGTAATGGTTTGGAGACTTGCCTGCCGGGTGTATCAACAATTTTAAAACCCTCGCCTACTTGTTCACTTCAAATTTTGCAATGAACATTCCTGCTAAGAAGACCACCCTTGATCTGGGGGCCATACAATAGGGAGAGAAGAAGGGACTATGCTCCTACATCAAGAGGTTCAATCTGATGATAATTCAGATACAAGGACTGCCTGATGAGGTAGCCTGTACAGACTTTTTCAAAGGTCTGAAGGACGGGTCGAACTTCAAGTTCGACCTTGTCAGAAAGAGGGTGACCACCCTCCAAGAAGCAATGATGGAGGCGGACGCTTACATACAGGCGACTGACCTCTGTAATGTTGGAAGCCGGCCAAAGCAGTCGGCCAATAAGGAAGAGAAAAGGAGAAAAGAAGTCTGGGCCGCCGACTCTTCTGAACAGCCGTCCCAGAAGAAGAAAAAGGAATTTAAACCATAACTCCCCCGAGTATGAGTTTAACAAGGATAGTCATGCTATCCTCGATGAAATCAAAGGTCGGATGTCAATTGAGAAGCCGGCCGCAATGAAGGGTTCTGCGAGCAATCGGAAACAAGATAAATTCTGTCACTATCACGAGGACATTGGTCATGAAACCAATGAATGTATCAGCCTCAAGCGTCTTCAATTCTGGACCGCCTGGCAGATAAAGGAGATCTTGACTCTTATGTCAAGAAGTCCAAGGGGAAACCACCCCTCAAACAGAAACAGGCGGCCAACAAGAAGCAACGGATAGCCGAAAGCTCTGACACTGATGAAGCTCCCATTTATACTATAGCAGGCGGCTTCGCAGGAGGTGGTCCTACTATCCGGGCCAACAAAGATAACATCAGGTGGCTGGATGTTAACTCCGTCGAGCAAGGAAGGACCTCCAAAAGCTCCTTTCCTGAGGTTGTAATCAATGAGAAAGACTTGGGAGGTGTTAGGGGGCCGCATGATGACCCCATCGTAATTGAATGCAAAGTGGCCAACCAGAGAGTTGGCCGGATTCTCATAAATACCGGAAGTTCTTCTGATTTAATCAGCAACAAGTGCTTGGAAAAGCTCAAGTACAAACCTGACAGCATACATCCGGTATCTCACCCTTTAGTGGGGTTTGGAGGAGGCGTCGTACACCCAGTGGGACGGGTAGATCTGCCAATCCGCCTGGGTGAGAAGGGAGAGGGCCGTCACATGGTGGTCCGGTTCTTGGTAGTCGAGGAACTCTCGGCATACAACATGTTTTTGGAACGACCTACCCTGAACAGTTCCCAAGCCGTCATCATACCATCTCTCATGCTCCTCAAGTTCGAGAGGGATGACGGATCAGTCGGCTCCCTAAGGGGAGACCAGAAAATGGCTAG